AAGCGGCTTGCGAAGGGGTCTGAGCTGCTGCTGACGTTAACGCCTTGTGGGACACGCTGGTAATAACAACAACAGGGCCTAGGCTTACTGCCAATAACTAGCACAGCACCCATTTTGCAGGTGAACAAACTGAGGCCTAGAAAAAGGACGAGACTTGCCCAGGGGCAGAGCAGCCGGTTTCAAACCTAGCGCAATTCCCAGGTATAGCCCTGGCTTGCAGGGGGAGCCCTTGCAGGGCCGCTCTGTGCCTCGGTTTCCCCGCCTATAAGAGGAAACGCCGATAGCGGCTGCTGAGTGAAGTACTTTGATATCTACCCAGCACGTTCATTAGGGTTATCAATCGTTAGTCCTACTTGTAATGATTAACTGGCTCATAATACCCTCCAATCGGAGGCTCGTGGGATTTCGCACCACACGGGACGTCGAGATGATTTCGCCCGCCCTCGCGAACGGCACCTGGAGACTGTAGCCTCTCGCGCGACCTTTTAGGGTGAACTGGGACATCTCCTTCAAACACGCCGCCGCACCGCATAGCTTTAAAAATACTGCGTTTATTGGGCTCTTAAATAGAAACGTCACTACAAAAATATACAGACTAGGAAAAAACAGAATGCCCTTCGGTGGGATCACGACGTACCTCCTGCCTCGTGTCGCGGGATCCGAACTCCTTGGCCACCCAAAGACTTCTTAAGAAGTAACCAAAGGAGTTGCTTCAAGGGAGAGCCCAGGCCCCCGGCCGGCATCTTTTTAAGGAGCGATGGAGACACTCAGCTCTTCCCCCCAGGCCTCTCATGGGGCTGGAAGGAGTTTTTGAGATGAAGTGCGCATGGCTCCCCATCCTTTTCAGGCAACCGGCACAGTGTTTTCCAAAGCGGCATTGGACTTTCAGCTGTGACTGCCCCTGCCCATCCTGCAACTCCACTGCTTTCAAGCCCTGCGAGAAGGGGAGGCGTTCGATCCTTGCACCGATCCTTTTCTAACCCATGAAATTAAAGGGATCCTTTCTATTAAGTGAAATGGATGGCAAGAAGCACGTGCATGTGCACGCACCGTGAATAAGCTCATCCAAATGTAGTCTCTGGTTCTGCCTAAAGTGCTTCAAGCCCAATGGAAACCCATCTCCTGCTGGTTACTAATTATAGCTAGAGCTATTTTAAAAAAAATAAAATAATACAAATAGCTTTAAACAAAATGTGTTACTGATAACTGTGCCAGGGCCTTGAGAAAAAAAATCCTGCAATAGAAACACCTAATCAGCAGTGAGGTTGTTCCCCCCTCCCCTCCCTTCCTCCGCTGCAGATTATATAGGGTTAGAAAGAGATCCCAAAGTGGGGAGGAACATACCGGCCCTGAGCTACCATCAGCAATGTCTGCGTATACTGAAGTGGGGGAGCTGCTGCGAGTTTGGAAGGACCTGAAAGACTCCAGCAAGTTTCCCATATGGGGCCATCCCCTGAATCCTAGTAGCAAGGGCCTGAATCCACCCCACTGGGAAGATTCCCCTTGCTGGGCTGTGAAGCTCCCAGACAGGATGGGCTTTTGGAGAAGGCCCAGTTCAATGGAGGGATCAGGAAGATTCCCAGCCATAAGGCACCACCACCCCATCAAGCTTGTAAGTGCAGAGAACAGGTGGTAACACAGGGCCGAGTCTGATCCTGGCCATGGGGGACAGAGCAGATGTCCCGGATCCACACCAGCCCATGCAACAGCCTGATGGGCAGCTGATGCAACGGGGCCTAGAGCTCAAGGAAGAAAGTCTGCAAGAGATGGTCTCACAATCCCAGATCCGGCTGCTGTCCCTCTGCAAGAAAGCAGCAGCCGCAACCTGGACTTGGGGGAGTGCATGTACACGCCACATTTTTTGCCTTTCCATGTGGTGCAACTGTGTGTCTGTTTGCACGAGCAGGATTTCCGGACGCTTTTTTGTGCATTACAGTAAAACTCAGGGACTTCAAAAGTGCTTCTGGAGGTAGCAGGATTACAGCAAAGACCACGCCCCCTCTCCCCAACCTACTCCCTTGTACAACACAGCAGCTTACAATGCATCCGAGCCTCTAGGGCAGGGGAGACAGGGGTCTTCCAGTCCTCCCACCCCAAAGATTCCTCACTAGTGCCTGCTTTGAGGGGTCCAACTGGGAAAACCCAGCAGAAACAGCCTGGCTTGGTGGGTGGAAGGTGCTGCAGACCCACCCACGATCCGCAGGGAAGGGACAGCTAATTAGCAGCAGGGCAGGGCTCCTCCACAGTCCCCAGAGCCAGGACGACCGTGGATCTGGGACCGAGGGGAGAGCTCCATCTCTAGGGCTCGTTCTGGAGATGCGGGTCTCCTCTGCCATGTCGCTGGGAGATGCCCAGTCACCAGGACAACTGGGCAACATATCTGCGACCCCTCAGTAGATGCCAAGGGCTGGGCAAAGTTCCAGGCCTGGGACCGAAAATCCAGCAGTATCCGGGTGCCTGTCTCCAAGATGAGCTGCACACAGCAGCCTGTGGGCACTGGCCTCTTTGCCAACACGCAGGTGGACAGGTCTGAACGCCGGGGAAGTCAGTCATGTGAGTCCAGCCGCTGCCTGACATCCTCTCCCAGCAGTGGTCACCATCAGCGGGACGGGG